GCCAAGGAGTAAGAATCCATTCTAATTTTGTATAGCCTAATCATAATTGTTTAAGTGGTTTGGGGTGAGGATGCATGTGAGTCCTTTCTTTTTGTTTGTTTGTGTTTTTTTTTTTAAGATGGAGTCTCGCTCTGTCGCCCAGGCTGGAGTGCAGTGGTATGATCTCGGCTCACTGCAAGCTCTGCCTCCCAGGTTCACGCCATTCTCCTGCCTCAGCCTCCCGAGTAGCTGGGATTACAGGCACCCGCCACCACGCCCGCATAATTTTTTCTATTTTTCAGTAGAGACAGGGTTTCACTGTGTTAGCCAGGATGAGTCACTACCTGAAGAGCAACAGCTGGCGCCTCCTCCCCGCGCGCTTCTTCTGTACTCTCAAGTTCCCCCAAAGCCCCAGAGAGTTGGAGGCCACAGGAAGGGGCAGGGAGGGGAGTAGCTGAGGCGAAGTACATAATATATATACACACACATATATATACCCTGGGCCAGGAGGATGCGAGGAGCACTTCAGCCTCCTGAGTAACTGAGACTACAGGTGTGTGCTACCACGCACTGCTCCTTTCTTGTCCTGGTCACTTTGTGTACTCTGCCCATGTCTTTCCACAGGTCTGCTCCAGCTCAGCCACCTGCTGAAGGGACAGAAGGGACTGCCCCAGGTGGGGGTCCCCCTGGCCCTCCTCCTAACCTGACCAGTAACAGACGACTACAGCAAACCCAGGCACAAGTGGAGGAGGTAGGTAGATAGCTGTTTCTCTGAGAGTTTGCAACTCTAGGAGTTTGGAACAAAAGGGAACTTCTTATCTTTCCTCCTTTTTTTGTAGGAGAACAGTCAAAAAGGCCCCGAGAGGCAGAGCACCCTTTAGAGTTGCACAGGGCCAGACTTGTGATTCTCTGGTTGTTGTTCTTTCCTCTGTCTTTGGCAGGAAGCTTAGTAGCTTTGTTTCTGTGCCCTCCTCAGGTGGTAGACATCATACGTGTGAACGTGGACAAGGTCCTGGAGAGGGACCAGAAGCTGTCAGAGTTGGATGACCGAGCTGATGCCTTGCAGGCAGGAGCATCACAATTTGAGAGCAGTGCTGCAAAGCTAAAGAGGAAGTATTGGTGGAAAAACTGCAAGGTGAATTTTCTTGTCCCCTCCTCCATCTTTTCCTGGGCTTCCACTGGTAGAAGGCAAGAAAACCTTCAACTTCTACATTTCTTCCCTCTGATGGTGCAGTATCTCTCTGACCAGCATAATGCTTGGGAGGAAATCCGAAAAGCCTCCTTTTGAGATTGCATTACCCAGAATTGGCCACCAGGGTAGGCTAGAGTATTCGGAACCGCTATCAGGAAAAAAGTGATACCCTGAGGAGTTTGGAACGGTTAGTTAAGGAGCTTTTCCCCCATAGGAGTGGCCTGCAAAAATTTTCTCCTGTCTCATCCTCAAACACACCCAACATCAGCACAATGGCTCAGGTATATGTATATATACACACACACATTATATATACACACACACACAATATATATATACACACATATATATATACACACACATTATATATATACACACACATAATATATATATACACACGTACACATATATACACACACACATATATACACACACACAAAATATGTATATACACACACATTATATATACACATACACATTATATACACACACAATATATATACACACACTATATATATACATACACACATATACACACATAATATATATACACACACACATAATATATACACACAATATATATACACACACACATATATACACACACACATAATATGTATACACACACACATATATATACACATATAATATATATATACACATAATATATATACACACAGATACACATAATATATACACACACACACACTTCATAATATATAAATATACACACACACACACACACACACACTTCTTTTTCTTTTAAATTAGCTTTCTCAGGTTGAAATATATATTTTTAAATGGCTGCAACTTTTGGGAATGAGCTGAACACTTCACAGTGAAAACTGAACCAATTGGTTAAATATCCAGAGTCTGTATCTCTATTGGAATGCCTTCTAAAGCCCCAAGACACCAGGAACCAAGCAAAGAGGAGCTCAGTGCAGGTCCTGTGATGAATCTGAAAAGCTACAGACGTACTGAGGTTATGATCCCCTGGGAAGCAGAAGGGTAGGGCCTCTCTAAGAAGCCTGCAGGTCTCCTGGGTGATGAGTGTTTTTTCCACTGTCCTCAGGGACATTCTGTTTCCCACATCCCTGTCCTGAGGGAATTCTGTTTCCCACTAGAGGTGTGGTTCTTTTCCTCATTCCTGACATTCAAGGGCTCATTTTTTGTCCATGTTTCCTCAGATGATGATCATGCTGGGAGCCATCTGTGCCATCATCGTGGTAGTTATTGTAAGTAAGTATCGCTGAGGTTGCTGGTGGGTTGAAGAGGTGGGAAGGTCCTGGAGTCTTCTCCCTGCCTGCCTGCCTGCCTGCCTGGGGAGTGGGGCTGCTCTGACTGAGGTATGGAGACCGCTGCTATGGGATCGTCACTTGGTTCGGGAGGGGGGAAGGGCAGAGACACGGGATTTCTTTGATGGACAAGGCTTCCCCCTGCAAGGCATTGCAGGGAGATGGTGCCTCCTGTTCTGAGGAAGTAGGGCTATGCTGTGTGTCACTGGCTTGGGTTGGAGGGACATCGTGGGGATGGGGCACTTAACAATGGAAAGACCTGAATGTCTGGTAACTTGGTGTAATTTGCCCTCTTGTTTTCTCCTGTCTCTTTCTCTCTTCCGTCTGGGACTTCCTGATTCCTGTGTCCAGTCTACTTTTTTACTTGAGAATGTGCCACCCCTTCCCTGTTCTCCATTGCCATCCACACTCATGTCCTCTCCCCTCTGTTTGCTCTCTCAACACACGTCCCCACCCACCGTCCTCCATTCCAGCCCAGGCTTCTCCATCACCCATTCCTCCTTTTGCGTTGCGTTCATTTGCACTCTGTCCCTCGACACTAGAAATGCTGCTCGTGGTGCAATCTAAGTCACTACCTGAAGAGCAACAGCTGGCGCCTCCTCCCCACGCGCTTCTTCTGTACTCTCAAGTTCCCCCAAAGCCCCAGAGAGTTGGAGGCCACGGGAAGGGGCAGGGAGGGGAGTAGCTGAGGCGAAGTACCCGTGAAGCTGCCCAGACTTGGGAGGAGAAGAGTGTCGGTGCCCATGATGTCTCCTAGAAAACCTGGTTACTGGCAGGAGCTAGAGAGGGACTGGGAAGATGGCAGCTCACTCAGTGCTGCCTGGTCATGTGGAGCCTTCCCTCCTGAGCCAGGCCTGGAGAGGGTCCTGGCGGTGGACCAAAGTCCAACTTGGTTTCAGTGCAGCACGCTTTTCGAAAGTAAAACTTGCTTTTTGTAGTTATTTCTAATCTGTTCGTCCAGGATTTTCTATGTCTTTGGGGATCTTACAACTTTACTTTGTTCTCCAGAGGCCTGGAGAACACTTATGGATTGTGAAAATAGCAGGACTTGTTTCCATCCTAGAAGCAGTCCCATGTGCTTCTAACTGGAAGGAGCTTTCTCTTCTTTACATTTTCTACAGCATTCCGTATGAGGGCACCAAAGAAATTCATCTAGCCAGTAGTTTTATCTAGCCAAATAATTTCACCTAGCTCCCAGTTAATTGTTGGCATAAAGAGAGAGATTGCCTATTAGTTATAGAGAAACAGTGAGTCAAGTGCTTGATTTGAAAGTAACAAGCTCAGAGGAAGCCACTCCTTGCCCTCGTTAAAGAGGGTCCCGTTCCTCTCTTCCTGTTGATGAAGGGGTGTGAGGGTGTTAGAAGTGTGAGATCTTTGGATACCCATGGAATCTCTTCCTCCACACCACCCGTGCACTTGCCAAAGACAGGGATGAGGCAAGAGGTCCTTCCTGAGGCCCTGCTGATCCTCAGGATGCAGAGAAGTCGTGTAGACCCACCAGCCCCACCTTGCGGGGAGGCGTGCCAGCCTGTGACAGGTGTCATTGTGTATTGCTGTGCTGTCATGGCGCCTTCTCCTTGAGAACCGCCTGTCTGTTCTTCCTGCAGTATGTTCCCCTTCGAACCACCCTTACCTGTCTGAATTCTACTTTGCCTCCTTTCTCTTCCTCCTCTTTGCATGGTTTGTGTGTATAGACAGTGGAACCTGAGGATGGGATCTGCTCAGCCTATCATCAGGGCAATTGCTGAGCTTCAGGATGGGTTATTAATGTGGGATAAACCCAGGTGCAAGGGGAGGAGGACAGGCTGGGAACAGAGTGGGGAATACCCATAGCCCTTTATTCCTTCCTCCCGCAGTCCACGAACAGGAAGAGGGTGAGGCCATGCTGGGCAGGGTCTGGATGCCCACTTTCCATGCAGCAGCATTTCATTGCACAAAACCATCCTTCCTTTCCCTTCGCCCTTGTTTCCCATATTCCCTTCGTCCTGCCCCAGGGCGGGACTGAAGAGCTGGAAGAAAGCAGTCAGTACCCTCCCAACGGCCCCCCTCGAAGGTCTCCACTCTCCTCTGGGCTCCTCCTTGCCTAATGCAGGGGGTCACCGCTGGAGAAGAACCACCACTGTCCTCGATGTGTCCCAAGCCTGGAGCAAATCGGTCCTCTTGGCTCTCCCAGCCCCATTACAGAAATCATTCCTGGGTTTCTGTCCCTCTGAGGCTCACCAGGTGTAGTTGGCTTTGTTCTTTGGGGGTATTAGCCCTTCTACTTTCTTTCTCACCCACCCTGTACCCTCTTCTGTGTGTCTTTGCTATCCCCCTTCCCTCCCACCACTCATGTGCATGAGCAAATGTGCAACTAAACCCTGGGACTTTGCAGTCAAATGAAGCTGAGCTTCCCACATCCCCTTCTTCGGTTTGCCATGAGACGATGTGGGGTTTCCACTGTGTGTCTGTCATCACCTCTTTGTCTTTTTTTCCTAACCCTGATCTCATACTTGTATAGAGTAATAACAACAGTTGTACTTCCACCAAAGGCATGTGGCATATTTACCAATTTCATGTATTCTGAACAAAGGCAAAAAATACAAATTCCTACCACTAAACTGGCTTGGCTGTTGTTTGGGTGGGAGTAGTTGGGGGGCTTGGGGGGAAGGGTGTCGTTGCTTTCTCGTACTCTCATGTCACTTCAGGTCAGCTGGGCTGGCTTACATGTGCTGCACGGTCTTCCTGGAGGTGGGAGGTCTGTGCGTCAGCACAGGAAGTGGTCTCCCAGCGTTCAGCCTGAAGCAGCCCAACTCTTGTAGGTGCTGGTGAGAGGAAGTGAGGACAGGAAGTTGCGTGGGCATCTCACACTAGCAAACAAGCACAGGTTCCCTCAGGCCTCTTCTATCTGCCTCCTGTGCTCCTTCCTAGGTCCTTGGCCTGCTTGTCCTGTCCCAGAGGATGTGCCCAGATAAGGCTGTCAGTGAACACCTCCTTACCCCCTTTTCCCCATCATCCTCACATACAGTTTTGGTATGCTGAGTTCCACCGTATTGACCAGGCACATTTTAGAAATGAATAAAAGGAGAAATCTCTCCCTTGCAGCTGAGGGAGTGAGGCATTTGCAGGTATCCTGAAACTCCCAGCAGTTATACGAAGGAGCAGAACCCTAATTGCAGCAGAGATGCAACTGAGATGGAGCCCGGGGGTGCCTCTGAGGGCCTTTGTTCCCTACCTTAAACACTTTGCAAGTTAGAGCCGCTAGGCTTGGGGACAGGGCTCAGTTGGGACCAGTGTGGAGGAAGACAGGAAAGTGGAAATGCTTGGTCACAGCAGACACAAGGGGCTTTTATTTTGACAGAGCCGAGTTTGGGAGGGGTAGCCCAGCCCCAGCCCGTGCCTCATTGTCCCTCACTTGTTCCTTCTCCATTTCTTCCAGCTTTGTTTTCCTACCACCACACCACCAACCTGGCTCTTTAGTCTTAACCTCCATCTGGACATTCTGCCGCCTTCTTGTCCCCTCACTTCTTCCTGTTCTCCGCCTTGGTGCATGAGCCCAGGGTGCACAGTGAAGGAAGGCAGAGGCCTATGCAGAGCCAGGCCCAGTGACCCGTGAGCTGGTACCACCTTCATGCCTTTTTAGCTCTGCGACTTGACTTAGAGTCCTTCTGGGAGCACATGACTGCTCTTTCTTTCTACTCTGAGGCAGGAGAGTGGCTACCCAGAGTGCCTTAGAGTCTTGACAGACCTTAGTGAGGTAGCTAGGAGAAAACAAGAGGGAACACGACTGGTTTCATTTTCATTTAGGGCAAACTCAAAAGCAGGAGGCTGTGATGGGTGGGTGGCTGGAGCTTGGGGCATCTGGACTTCCACCCTGGTCTGGGTGGGGAGGTGGTTAGAGTGGGTGAGGTGGGCCAGGTCCAGAACCAAGGGCAACCAGGCTCTTACCTTGGCGTCTCTGAAGCCCCAGGAACAACAGTGCAAGAAGGAAGAGGCTGCTGGCAACGATGACTCCCAAGACTGTTCTCTGCTCTGTCGGTGAGAGCAACATGGGCGGGGATTATCGTGTGCAGGAATCATGAGCTGAGCCCTCACCTGCAGTGTCCACCCCAGGGAGGAGGAGCTACGGAGTGTGTGTGTGAGTCCCTGGTTGAGGAGCCTGGAACAAGGCACCCAGCAGCATTTGTACTTATTCATAAGGTTGCTGGATACTCGTGGGTTACTCCACACAGAATTCTCTACCTCTTCTCACCTAAGGACAAGTTTTTAAAAATTGCTTTGCAAGTGAGATTTAGGTTGGTTTATTTGTTAAGAGTTAACTTGCCTGGACACAGTGGCTCATGCCTGTAATCCCAGAAATTTGGGAGGCTGAGATGGGTGGATGGCTTGAGCTCAGGAGTTCAAGACCAGCCTTGGCAACATGGTGAAACCCTGTCTCTACCAAAAATACAAAAAATTAGCTGGTCGTGTTGGTGTGCGCCTGTGGTCCCAGCTACTCGGGAGGCTGAGGTGGGAGGATCACGAGCCTCGGAGGCAGAGGTTGCAGTGAGTCGAGATTGTGCCACTGCACTCGAGCCTGGGCGACAGAGTGAAACCCTATCTCAAAACAAAATAAAACAAAGCAAAACAAAATAAAAACAACCCGTTAACTGGGATTTTGTAAATAGTTGGGGAATGATGTGAGCTGAGGTGAAACCTCAGTTTTGGGGAAGTTCACAGTCTAATGAGCGACCAAATGCCCAGTGCTCCTGGATGTTTCCATTTTGAGTTGCGGGTTCTTTCCTGTCCCTTTCCTGTTTAAAACCTTTGAACAGGCAGGGTGCGGTGGCTCATGCCTGTAATCCCAGCACTTTGGGAAGCCGAGGCGGACAGATCATTTGAGGTCAGGAGATCGAGATCAGCCTGGCCATCATGGTGAAACCCCATCTCTACTAAAAACACAAAATTAGCCAGGCTTGGTGGTGCATGCCTGTAATCCCAGCTATTTGGGAGGCTGAGGCAGGAGGATGGCCTTGAACCCAGGATGTGGAGGTTGCAGTGAGCTGAGATCGTACCACTGCACTCCAGCCTGGGGAACAGAGCAACATTCTGTATCAAATAAATAAAATGAAATAAATAAATAAATAAATAAATAAATAAATAAATAAATAAAACCTTTCAACAGCATGCTATGGTTCTCAGGAATTTCCATCTTGAAGGCCCAGTGAGATCTACAGGGTTTAATTAAGCCCGTAAGGGGAATCCAGTTGCCTGTTTTTCACATTCTCTCTTTACCATTGATTGATAGGTGACCTTGGGCAAATTCATTGAAATTCATTGACATCTGCAAGTGCCAGTTTACTCACCTGTAAAATGGGAGTCATAATCCATAAAATCATACATTTAAGTGCTTTCTACAGTGCTTGATTCACGTAAATGCTCAATAAATAGAATTACCTCCGAATCTTCAGAGCCAGTTTCCCTTTTTCCCATATACCCTAGGCTCTAGCTGTGCTGAGTTGCTTGCAATTCTCCAAAGTCTCTTTAGGCTGTTGTATGATTTGGCTTTCATATATGCTATTGTTTCTATCTTGAGTTTCCCTTCCCTCTAAGCTAGTTAACTTGGCTCAAATGTCATCTTCTCTGCCTACTTAGTCTTGTCTCTGTCACTGGACTAATCTCCTGGAGGGCATGATGAGGAATTACTCATCTGGGATCTCCAGCCTTAAGCACATTGCCTGGCCCCCTGGAGGCTGGAGTATAATGAAGTCTCAGGGGATGTGTGGTAGAAGCTGTGGCAGCTGCCACCTTGGGAAAGACAGCCAGGAGCTGAGGCAGCAGCATGAAGCCAGGGCTGTGAACAAAGTGGATGGGCAGCAGAACAAGGCCATAGATGAGCTGGGGCAGGAGAGCCATGAGCCCTAGTGTGGAGGTGGGGAAAGGGAGGACACTCCCAGTACCTGGTGGGACAACCTGGGTGCTGGCCCCAAGGGGCTCCTCCAGAGAGATGTGGGTGACCTGGCAGGTGTAAGTGGCACCTGCAGAGCCAGGTTCTGCGATGAGAGAGGAGGAGATGCTGTAGGTGCCTGCCACGCTTTGCCTGAGGCTGGAAAAGGAGGCACCAGAGACTTGGACTGGGGATCCGCCCAGCTCCTGTCGGGTCCACGTCACTGCCACGTCCAGAGGATAATAGCCAGCAATGTCACAGATGAGGGTGGGCAGCAGAGCTTCGTTTGCCAAGCTCAGTCGTACTTTGGGGGAAGCTGGAGAAAGAATGAGGAATAAGATTACACATGGATCTAACTGGGGACAGCGGAGGAGCCTGAAGCCTTTTCTTCCTGCCAGGATGAGAGTAGATTGTGGAGGCTAAAGTGTCCCTTGGTGGTGTACCAAGGCGAGGGTGTGTGCAGGGCCCACCTGGATGCAGGCCGTAAGTGGGGGCGGGGGGGGTTACATTTTCCAGAAAAGTGATAGTTGTAAAGCCAACTAAAGGTTGGCTGGCTTCTTACCGTCATTCTAAGCCAGATATATATATTTTTAAGATGATGTCTTGCTCTGTCGCCCAGGCTAGAGTGCAGTGGCATCTCAGCTCACTGCAACCTCTGCCTCCTGGGTTCAAGCAATTCGTCTGCCTCAGCCTCCTGAGTAGCTGGGACTACAGGCGTGCACCACCACGCCTGGCTATTTTTTGTATTTTTAGTAGAGATGGCGTTTCACCATATTGACCAGGCTGGTGTCAAACTCCTGACCTCGTGATCTGCCTGCCTTGGCCTCCCAAAGTGCTGGGATTATAGGCGTGAGCCACCGCGCCCAGCCTCTATGCCAGAGATTTTAAAGGATAGCAGTGATAATGGTCAGAACCACTTCCACTGCCCGCCTTGGTTTGCTGCTGCTGCCATTCAGGATGTGGTCCAAAAGGACTGGGGTGATGGAGACAGCCGGCCACAGCAGGGCAGCAGGATCCTGGACTGGAAATCTCTTGGTGGAATTATCCTGGAGTCCAGCGGGACTCCTTATCTGATGCCATCTGTGCTTCTGCGGTGAAGATGGCATGTAAGTGGTGGGACTGAAGCCTGCTTCTCAGGAAAGCACTCTTGCATTTGGGTCCCAGTCTGAAAACGCTCCCAGTGGACATGTTATATCCCCTTCCCTGGGATAACCATGTCCTGGCCTCACCTTGGATGTTGAGCTGGATGATCTGCTGAGTTCGGTACAGAGAGGTGGTGATCTGACAAACGTAGGTCCCCTCGTCCTGTATAGTGAGGCTGGGCAGGGTGAGGGAGGCATCCCTGGCCATGCCCAGCTGCTCAGGCTCCAGGGTAGCGCCCTTCCGCACAGCCTGCCCCTGCCCTGTGGTCCAGCTGTACACCAGCTGACCCCTGCCCTCGTGCTGCAGCCGCCACTCCACACTGATGAGGTCCAAGCCTGGTGCCATGGAGAAGCCACAGTCCAAGGAGGCTGAGGACCCCAGCAGGAAGGTCAGGGATTGGGTCTGTGTCGTCACCTGGAACTCCACTGTGAAGAGGAAAACAGGGGTGATTTGTGGGCTACTTCCTCCTTGAGGTCACCTGATCTCCAAGCTGTGGGCATGTTGTGTGGCATACACCTGCCTCTTCTTCCGTGCCTGACAGGCCAGATGAGCTTATTTTCCATCACACGGAACCACAAAGAAATGGGGCTCTGGAAAGGCAGCATGGTGCGCATGATGGCCATCACCATTTTGGGATCACTTACCCTAGGATAATTTAGCGAAAGCTATAGATCTCTCACCAGGAAAAATACACATACAAAATTAAGAGTTACCATCAATCTTCAGGTAAGTACTACTAGAGTAGCAGAAAAAGCTCTGAAACCCTGGCGTTCCACTTACTGGCTCTGTGACCTTTGACAAGTCACTTGGTGTTACCAAGCTCACCTACTGAAGCAAGGATGCTGTGAAGACTAGGAACAAGAGTTTAAAAAGCACGCGGTGGCTGGGCGTGGTGGCTCACGCCTGTAATCCCAGCACTTTGGGAGGCCAAGGTGGGTGGATCACCTGAGGTCAGGAGTTTGAGACCAGCCTGGCCAACATGGTAAAACCCTGTCTCTACTAAAAATACAAAAATTAGCCGGGCATCATGGCAGGTGCCTGTAATTTCAGCTACTCGAGAGGCTGAGGCAGGAGAATTGCTTGAATCTGGGAGGTGGAGGTTGCAGTGAGCCAAGATTGCACCATTGCACTCCAGCCTGGGCGACAAGAGTGAAACTCCATCTCAAAAAAATGTAAAAAAAAAAAAAAAAAAAAAAGTATGAGTTATTAGGAAGCTGAGGCGGGTGGATCACCTGAGGTCAGGAGTTCCAGAACAACCTTACCAACATAGAGAAACACCGTATCTACTAATAATACAAAAATTAGCTGGGTGTGGTGGCACAAGCATGTAATCCCAGCTACTTGGGCGGCTCAGGCAGGAGAATCACTTGAACCCAGGAGGTGGAGGTTGCGGTGAGCCAAGATCGAGCCATTGCACTCCTGCCTGGGCAATAAGCGAAACTCCATCTCGATTAAAAAAACAAACAAACAAAAAAAACATGTGGTAGTAGTATCTGTGCCAAACATGCTTAACCTAAATCCAGTCATGAGGAAAACAATCAGACAAATCTAAATGGTGGGATACTCTACAAGACCACTAGCCTGGACCCTTCAAAAATGTCAATTCTGTGAAAGATGTTCTAGATTAAAATAGGGAACAGCACAACTAAATGCACTGCATGATTCTTGTTTGAATTGTGTACTTAGAAAAAGAAAGCAGTAAAAAAACATATTGGGACAAGTGGAGAAATTTGAATTTGGAGACATTTAATTTTTTTTTTTTTTTTTTTTTTTTTTTTTTTTAGGCAGAGTCTCGCTCTGTCGCCCAGGCTGGAGTGCAGTGGCGCGATCTCGGCTCACTGCAAGCTCCGCCTCCCGGGTTCCCGCCATTCTCCTGCCTCAGCCTCCCAAGTAGCTGGGACTACAGGCGCCGCCACCACGCCCGGCTAATGTTTTTGTATTTTTAGTAGAGACGGGGTTTCATTGTGTTAGCCAGGATGGTCTCGATCTCCTGACCTCGTGATCCGCCCGTCTCGGCCTCCCAAAGTGCTGGGATTACAGGCTTGAGCCACCGCGCCCGCCCTAATTATTTTTTTAAGAGAAGGGTCTCAGGCTGGGCACAGTGGCTCACGCCTATAATCCCAACACTTTGGAAGGCCGAGGTGGGTGGATCACCTGAGATTAGGAGTTCAAGACCAGCCCGGCCAATATGGTGAAACCCCATCTCTACTAAAAATACAAAAATTAGCTGGTGTAGTGGCGTGCGTCTGTAATCCTAGCTACTTGGGAGACTGAGGCACAAGAATCACTTAAACCTGGGAGGCAGAGGTTGCAGTGAGCCGAGATCGCGCCACTGCACTCCAGCCTGGGAGACAGAATGAGACTCTGTTTAAAAAAAAAAAAAAAGAGAGAGAGAGAGACAGGATCTCGCTATGTTGCCCAGGCAGGACTCAAACTCCTGGGCTCAAGCAATTGTCCTGCCTCAGCCTCCTGAGTAGCTGGACTACAGGTGTGCATCACCATGCCCTGAACTTTACAGTTGAGACTATTATTGTATCAATTAAAAAGTATCTAAAAGGATGAAGATCCGTGGCATACTAGGCAGTGGTGTCGGGGGATAGGGACAGTCTGCCCTGGCAGGGAGGAGTATTTTATCACTGATAATATTCAGAATTGTCAATGTCAGGAGATGGTGAGACTATAAAGCCATCTGACTTTTAGCCGATTTTATTATTCTGAAATATTTTACACTCTGCACTCCCTTATTGCCTGCACCATGGGTAGACTACTCCCCCATTTTGGTTTGTTTCTGACATGATGGTTTTGTAACTGTGAAGGATTACGTCCTTGTCCTTCGCTGTAAACTAATACATGCTATGGATGGGAGCGTTTGGGGTTCAAGTGTTGCCTTCTGCAACTTACTCTCAGTTCAGAGGAAAATACACACATACACATATACACACACGGGGAGTCGGGGGAGAGAGAATGTGGCAAATTGGTGACAATTGGTGGATCTAGGTGTAGGGTATGTAGGTGTTCATTATATTATAATTTCACCTTTTTTTGTAGGTTTGGAATAAAAAGAGAGAAATATCTACCCATGCCAGGAGTGTGGTAGACACTGGACAGCTGCGAGGACCTTTTCTTTCTAATGTGGCAGATGAGATTTAGGTTGGACCACAGAGAGGTTAGAGTGTTCTAGGGTTTTCCAAGGATAGGAGGGTTGCCCCCTAATTTTCTCTGGACTTGGTTGTCTCTTCTTGGAGACACAAAGAAGCGGGGCACAGAGTCTTGGATTAATGGGCTCTGGGGAACCCTGTCATCATGTTGTCAATTTGTTGTGCCCTCGAGGATGTGTGGAGCTGGAGAGGGCAAGTACTGGGTTTACTAATAAGATAATGAACAAACGATGCATCCCTGAGCTTTACCCCTAAAGCACCAGACCAGGCTAGCCTTACACTGGGAGAAAACCGGGTTTTGGCTCAATAAGACTACAGTGGACAGCACCCATGAGCAGAATAGCATCATGTGTCTTATTTCCTCATGGCAGCCCAGTGAGATGAGAATGATCTCCATTTTGGAAATAACACACAGGTTGTCTGTGTGCTTGGACCTTCAGGTAGGGGCTTCGAAGCATTCTCTTGTGGACTCAGGGTTTTTTTTTTTGTTTGTTTTGTTTTTTGAGATGGAGTCTCGCTCAGCTGCCCAGGCTGGAGTGCAGTGGTGCGATCATGGCTCACTGCAACCACCGTCTCCCAGGTTCAAGTGATTCTCCCATTTCAATCTCCTAAGTAGCTGGGATTATAGGCACCTGCCATCATGCCCGGCTAATTTTTGTATTTTAATAGAGAGGGGGTTTCACCATGTTGGCCAGGCTGGTCTTGAACTCCTGACCTCAGGTGATCCACCTGCCTCGGCCTCCCAAAGTGCTAGGATTACAGGCGTGAGCCACCGCACCCGGCCTGACTCAGGGGTTTTTAGGAAGAAAGGACCAAGGCCTAGGGATGCCCTGAGGTGACCAATGTGGATGGAGGTGGATTTGTTCCCTTCCTTCTCCTTCTGTCCCCCATATCTTACCACTTTAGAAAAGCAAAACTTTATGTGACTTGCTTTTCATTTTCTTTCTTTCTTTCTTTCTTTTTTTTGAGATGGAGTTTCCCTCTTGTTGCCCAGGTTGAAGTGCTATGGCACGATCTTGGCTCACTGCAACCTTGGCATTCTGGGTTCAAGCAATTCTCCTGCCTCAGCCTCCCCAGTAGCTGGGATTACAGGCACCCGCCACCCTGCCCGGCTAATTTTGGTATTAGTAGAGACAAGGTTTCACCATGTTGGCCAGGCTGGTCTTGAACTCCTAACCTTAGGTGATCCACTGGCCTCGGTATCCCAAAGTTCTGGGATTACAGGCATGAACCACCACGCCTGGCCTTGCTTTTCATTTCCTTACCTGCAGTTCGCACAGTCCCCTGGGGGCTCAGGGGCAAGTTCAGCGTCGGATGCCAGAAAGCATCATTCTTGGCATCTATGGGAGTCTTCATCACCATGGAGATGCTAGGTCCTCCTCCAGAGACCTGCACGTTGGCCATGAAGCAAGCTGCTGTCTCCACAGTGGTCTCTCTCGTCTGGAGAAAGTAGTGGGAGATCTCGCAGGTCACCTCCTTCCCGCTGCAGTCAGCATGGAGCAAGGCCTCCGCCTGGGGAATCTGGACCAGGTCCACTGGGGAGAAGCGGGGCACACACGGAGGGCAAATTGGGGTGAGAACACCAGGGCCAACGGGAGGCAGTATGTGTGGCTGTAATCGGGACCCGGGCTGTCCTGGTGGAGGGAACCCGGGAGGACCAAGGACACAGGTGGAAGGATTTTACCTGAGGCCTCGAAGATGTCAGTTGGGTCGTCTTGGGCCAGCGTGCCCCCTTGGAAGTCGGTGAAGTCCTCCAGGGAGCCATCGTCCAGCACTGGCACCTGCTTTAGCACGAGGGAGGCCCTCGCCCTGTCCTCACTGCTGGCGAGAGCTCCACGGTGCCCACCGTCCTTCGCCAGGAAGCAGTCTAGGACCACGTCCACTGCCCGCCACTGCGTTTCTGCTGTGTGGGGCTCTGCAGACAAAGGCTGGGGTGAGCACCCCCTTCCCCAGAAAGCTACTCCCCACTTGCTTCCTGCCCCCACCCCCAAACTGTGGAGTCAGCAAAGGGTAAAAGTTGCCCTCCAAGATCCTAGCCGTCTCTGTGTCCCTCTACTCTCCTGTCGTCCCCCAAACCAGTTTTCTGGAGAGCACCTGCTAGTCCAGGCAAATACTTCTTGGTGTAGGTTAAAGTCCTGGATTTGCCTTGCTTAGAGGAGTTTATACTTGCATTTCCAACTGTTGAATGAAAGACTATCTTTTCAGTCAAAGGAATTCTCAGAAAAAAAGCAAGTGCCACCGCAGAGAGAGGAGGCTGGGCGGTTGCTGTTGCTGGGGCACTGACAGCCTGCATTACTTTCTCCCATATCGGGTAGCCTTCCCCTCCCCCGCCTTCAAGGTCGCCTTCCAAGTGATTTCCTCGCCTGGGGAGTCCTCTCCTCTTCTGAAGTGTCAGCTCCCAGGCCAGTGCCTTCTCCGTAGGACAGTGGCTCCCGACACAGCCACACAGGCAGCCCCTCTTTAGCGTTTTCCCTGTGGAGTCCCCACCCTCCCTCCACACACACTATTGGTTCCTTCTTTTGCCAGCCACTGAGCCTTCCCCCTGTTGGGCTTAGAAGGCGATTCGGTCAACCTCGGCCCCTTTTCTCTTCTGGAATCTCGGGGAGGGTGGCACCTGGGGCTTAAGTAGCTCTCCTCCCAGCCAGCTCTCCCCAACTCCCAGACTCACTGGTTTCTGCTGCTCCAGATAGAGCCAGGCAGAGCAGCAGGCACCAGCTCTCCTCTGTGCCCATGGAGGCTCCTTGCCCACCACCCTTCTCCGCACTCCTACGCTGCTTGTGAGGCCTGGCGGGAGAAGGGGGGCTCTCCAAGCACCCCTGGCCAGCCAGAAGCCTTTGGATTTCTTCTGTTTCCGCTGCTGTGGATTTTTCTTTCACTTTCACTTGGAGCAAGGTGGCAGCCGGCGTCTCTGTGTGAAGCCCTCTGCAGCAGCTGCCAGAGCCCTGCTTACTGTTCCCCTTTCTCTCCACCCACCTTACCCAGAAATCCCCAGGTGATTTCAAGACCTGACTTCTGCACCCTTTTGCTCCCCTCCTGTCCCGAGAAAGTGGAGATATAACTGGGAAAAGGGAATCTGAAATCAGACACAGGATCCGCAGTAGCCTGGTGACCTTTCTCAGCCCCACCCTCGAGCAGGCCCCAACGCAACCGGCTGAGAAACCTCCTCTGCCAGATCCTGACCTGAGCCAGGAGGCGGCCAGGAGCCTGGGTTTGGGGACTGGAATTTCAGAGAGGAAGCTGGAGAGCTGCAGGGTGGTCATCTGGCACTTTATTTTGTCCGTCTTGTAGCATATGGGTCTTTCGCAGCAGGAAGTGTGTTTTACAACCAGAGCCCCGCCCTCCTGCGGCGCAGGCGCAGCTGGCTGGGCTCCTGCTTCCCACTCCCCACCTCATCCATGTTTGTCCTGGTCCCTGCCAGTCTCGAAAAGGCACTCTGTCACGTGTACACAGGAAAGGGCCCTGACTAGAGGATAGGACTGCAGTGGTGGCTGCCAGGTCTCATTCTCCCTTGGATGGCCGGCGGGGTGGGGTGGAGGCCAGGGCTGTAGTGCGGCTCCCGCAGGTGCTGGCTCATGGGGAGGAGGCAGGCTCCGGTTTTCGGTAATCCTCTTGGATGGGGATGGTGCTGCCTTCCTCCTCCCTGGGGCAGCTGTAAGGACAAGGTTCTGCAGGCTCCATGGGACTTTCTCCTTTGTCTGCAGAAGGAGATCTGATGAGTCTTGGCCAGCAGTGGGGGCAGGGGGAGACGGGAGAAGGAGATGGGCAGAGGCAGGTGTGCTTGGGGGAGGGGTGTCAGGAGCACGCCAGCTAAGGGGAGAGAAGGGCTAGGACCAAGGCTGGTGAAGTGGAACTGGTGGGTTTCAGTGAGATTCCAGGCGTGGGCAGTGGGGCTGAGCTGTTGGGTTGTGGTGCAAGGGCAGGACCGGAGACCTATATTCTGTCTCTTACTTGATCTATATTTCCTTTGTTGATGGAGGAACAGGGTTCCGGCCAGGGTGAAAACAAGAAACATTCCGGAGAAGATCACAAGGATACGAATAAAATCTGAGCTGCACAGGGATCTTTGGGCTGTGATAGGAGGGGACACACAGGGGTTAGGGGAGGGTCTAGCCCTTGGCTCCCTGAGCCCAGCCCTCCTGTCACCTTGTCTGTCCCCTTTCCCCCATCTTCTTCTCTCCCACCCCCCACCGTTAGCCAACTCCTCTGCTAAGTGGTGGACTCTGCTTTTTCCCCTCCTCTTATCCCTACTCCAAGGAGCTTTCTGTCTGGCTTCCCTCCTGGCCCCTCCTGTGTGCATTCTCTCTAGCAGTGGGGATTAAGGAGAAAACTCACGTGACCAGTGGGTAGAGAGAGTCCGGGCAGGCAGGTGCCTGAAGTCAGCCAGAGTCTGCATGTGCCCTGCTGTTCTGGCCTCCAGCATCTCTGGAAAAACAGAGACAGAATGAGTAGCAGCAGGGAACCCCATAGGGCACATCTAAAGGCCTGAGAGGCGCTCAATGGGATGAGAAGGCAGAAACAGGCTGACCTTATCCAGGGGTAGGAGTGGGGAGTGCTGGTTGGGGTGTCACCCCTACCCCATGTGATGGCACAGAGAGTTGCCTGGAACTTACCATTGACATAAGGTAAGTGGGTGGGCTGAGGGTGTGGGCCCAGGGCCTGAGACGGCCAAGTGGTCAGCGAAGGGTTTGGAGGAGGATCACATTCAGTACACTCCTTGTCCCTGCACTGCCAGCCATTGCGACAGGCACACACAGCGTTGGCAGTGATGGTGCAGTTGCGAATGAGAAGACCTGGGGAAAGAGGAGGACCAGAGAGCATAGGACACTCAGACCTGTGGAGACCTTCAAGGTCCACTTGCTTCATTCCCCAGCCCCCATCCCAGGCCCACCTCTAGGGACGTGCTTCCCTTTCCATTCCCACCCCTGCAAAGGCCTCCCCTTGGCTCACTGTCCCCCAGTGCCTTTGCCATTATTATTGTTATTAAAGAAGAAAGTGGGACCTTTCAGAAGGAAGATTCGTGGGTTCAGACATAGGAACCATGAAAAGTAGAAAGAGCTTATATAACTTTCTCTTGTACTCTCTGACACTTTTTTTTATTTTTTATTTTTTTATTTTTTTGAGATGGAGTCTCGCGCTTGTTGCCCAGGCTGGAGTGCAGTGGTGTGACCTCGGCTCACTGCAACCTCCACCTCCTGGGTTCAAGCCATTCTCCTGCCTCAGCCTCCCAAGTAGCTGGGATTACAGGAGCGTGTCACCACACCCAGGTAATTTTTTGTATTTTTAGTAGCAACAGGGTTTCACAGTATTGGCCAGGCTGGTCTTAAACTCCTGACCTCAGGTGATGCACCAGCCTCAGCCTCCCAAAGTGCTGGGATTATAGGCGTAAGCCACTGTGCTCGGCCCCAATACTTTAATAACTTTTAATTGAAGTATAATATACATACAGAGAGGCACGCAAGAGTGTAAAGCTTAAGAATTTGTACAAATCTGGCTTACAGGCATAACCAGCACCAGATCAAGAAATAGAAAATAGCTGGGTGAAGCAGGGAATTGCTTGAACCCAGGAGGTGGAAGTTGCAGTGAGCGGAGATCGCACCACTGCACTCCAGCCTGGGCAACAGAGTGAAACTCCGTCTCAAAAAAAAAAAAAAGAAAAGAAAGAAAGAAAATAGCCAGGTGCAGTGGCTCATGCCTGTAATCCCAGCACTTTGGGAGGTCGAGGTGGGTGGATTGTTTGAGCTCAGGAGTTTGAGACCAGCCTGGCCAACATGGTGAAACCCCATCTCTACAAAAAATAGAAAAATTAGCTGGGCGTGGTGGCACACACCTGTAGGCCCAGCTACTGGGGAGGCTGAGGTGGGAGGATTGCTTGAGCCCAGGAGGCAGAGGTTGCAGTGAGCTGAGATCATGACACTGTGCTCCAGCCTGGGTGACAGAGTGAGATCCTGTCTCAAACACCACCAACAATAAAGTATGTTAGGAATTTCCAGGGGCTGGGGATGGGGATGGGGGTGGTTGGGGGGTAGAAATGGGGAGTAATTGCTAAGGGGTATGGGTTTCTTTGGGGTGATGAAAATGTTATAGAATTAGATAGTGTTGATGGCTGCACAACCTGTGAATACAGTAAAATAAATAAATAATAAATAGATAGTTACTTGATTACAGTTGCTAAGCATTTTTTTTGTTTGTTTGACGGAGTGTTGCTTTGTCGCCTGGGCTGGAGTGCAGTGGCACGATCTTGGCTCATTGCAACCTCCGCCTCCTGAGTTCAAGTGATTTTCCTGCCTCAGCCTCCCTAGTAGCTGGGATTACAGGTACGTGCCACCACGCCTGGCTGATTTTTTGTATTTTTAGTAGAGACGGAGTTTCACTGTGTTAGCTGGGATGTTCTCAATCTCCTCACCTCGTGATCCACCCACCTTGGCCTCCCAAAGTGCTGGGATTATAGGCGTGAGAATTTGCCTTTCAAATATACATTTTGCTCAAGTGTAGGGGTCTGATGTTGGGTGGTTGGCTGTTAATCAGTTATCCCGGGAGTGGGGGTGATAGGGCACTAGCTGGGCTGGGCTGGGCTTGCTGGCAACTGGGTTGAGAGGAGGGTGATTCAGAGGAAGGCAGTGACACCCAGATGTGGGACAGGCTGCAAGGAAGCCTGGTGGGCCTTAGGGCAGATGCTTGTGGGGACTCGGGGAGTCCTAGGAGCCCTGACAGGTGGAAGAGGGGTGCAGAAAGGGAGGATTTCAAAGGGAGGATGTCAAAGGTCATAACCAAACCTAACAATTTTCTTCTACTTATGCCTTTTGTCAGTACCAGGAGAGGGACAAATTCCTTCTTGGCATCCTTATGGCCCTGTGACCTCCTAATGAATGCTGACTCTGAGTTGCTACTAGAATTTGGTTTCCTTGTGGCTTCCTAGGAATTATGAGCCACGTTGGATAAGAACCTGCAAGGGAAGAATGAGGAAGCCTGGGACAGAGCACCGGTGGTAGGGAGGAGTGATGACAAGAGTCTCCGCTAAAAGGGAAATGGAAGGGTTAAAGAAGGGGCTGGGGAGGGTTAAGACAATGAGGTGCTATTGTTTCAGTGGGGAATATCTGGAGACCTGGGAGTTCTATTTAGCAGGTACAACCTGGGCTCAAAATTCCAGGCTGACTTCAGGCATGTCCTCGTCTCACAGATGCCAGCACTAAGGCCCAGAGAGGGCCAAACTCATTCAGCCTGCCCATCTTCTCACCCCTGGCTGCAATCCCCTGGGGTCCTGCTGCAGCCAGGTGCCGCTGCGGTACTTTGGGATCTATTGGCTGAGCTCCCAGAGAAGGGTCATGGATTGGGCTAGTCTGGAACAAGTGAAGGGACTGAAGATGGGCTCAGTGTGGGGCAAAGACCTTCAGGAAGGGTCTGCAGAGTGAGTAGGGAGGTTTTGACTGGAAAAATTCCAACCCTGCAGGGGCCGCTGCCAAGAGGAAAGCATCTACTACAGGTACATTTTTAAGTTAAGTAGACTGAAGAATATTTCTTGTGCATTAAAGAAGTTCCTCTTTGGTTGATTTGCAACGGAAAAGCTTTTATTTTCTTTTTTCTTTTTTGGAAACAGGGTCTCACTCTGCTCACTCTGTCACCCAAGCTGGAGTGCAGTGGTACAGTCACGGCTCACTGCAGCCTCCACTTCCTGGGCTCACATGATCTTCTCACTTCAGCCTTCTGAGTAGCTGGGACTACAGGTTCGCGCCACCACGCTCGGCTAACTTTTTGTATTTTTAGTAGAGACAGGGTTTTGCCATGTTGCCCAGGCTGTTCTTGAACTCCTAGGCTCAAAGGATCGCCTGCCTTGGCCTCCTAAAGTGCTGGGATTACAAGTGTGAGCCATTGCATCGGCTTTTCTTGTATGTGTGTGACAAAGGGTTTTGCTCTGTTACCCAGGCTGGAGTACAGTGGTTGATCAGCCTGGACCTCCTGGGCTCAAGTGATCTTCCCACCTCGGCCTCCCAAGCAGCTGGGACTACAGGTGCACTACCACACCCAGCCAATTTTTTTAGAGACAAGGTCTTTCTGTGTTGCCCAGCTGGTCTCGAACTCCTGGGCTCAAGTCTCTACAAAAAATACAAATATCCTTCTGCCTTGGCCTCTCAAGTGCTGGGATTATAGGCATGAGCCACCACATCCAGCCTTGGTTTTTGTTTT